GGGTTTAATTGGGGAATTGGTGGTTTTGGTCAGCTGTCAGTTTTGAAGAAACCTAGAGAAAGCTATATCAGCTAATGAATCATAATCATTGGCCTCAGAAGGAATTCAAACCCTTATTAATTGGGTTTCCAAATTGAAAATTTAGGGCCCCCAAAAAAGTTAGCATTATTCAGGAACCATTTTTCAAACATGGGGTCTGGAATAATTTTGGAAAAATTTAGCATTATAGAGGGCCCATTTACTAATCAGCATCCAACATTACCAGGACCCACAAGTGGTGGTTAATGGACACCCCTTAACAGCCTTAACATCTAAGGGGCTATCAATAGAAGCCCCTTAGGGTGTCCTGGTAATTACTACTATGCAGTAGTAATAACTGTGTGGTTTTCTGCCAAAGCTTGAGAGTTTCATCGTTGGATTTTCTGGCACATCTGCCGGGTTGACACTGGCACGAACCAATTGACGACTCCAACAGTTCCTTCACAACCAACAGAACAATGGACGGTCTTCCACTTGGAGCCAGCAATTCTCATTTGAACTGTTCCAAAGCCATTTGCCTTCGATTTGAACCCACTTCTGCCTCAGCCATCCGAAACAGGCGACAGATCAGCAGCGATTTGGACGCGTCCCAAGTGCTGAACTCGAACCCCGTGCGCCGAAGCCGAGAGCTCCGTGCTAAGGGGCCAGCCCGGGTGGTGCCCGGGTGTGCGCCTGAGGCGGCGAGTTGGGGTTGAAACTCACCCTAAGAGGGGTGAACAGACATGGCAATCCATACACCGCCTCCCCTCCCCAAAATAGACAGAGTCTCTAAGTTGTTCTAAGAAGTTGTGAAATTAAGTACCACATGTACTGCACGACAAGAGTTGAAACAGTTCCTGGAGGGAGGGTGGGTTTTCCCCCCTGAGGCCGTGATACCGGTGGCCATTGACCCACCGCCCTTGGCCGACCCACCGCCAGTGGAACCACAGAAGCTACCGGAGAAAGCACAGACTGCTGCGTCAGGAGAGGCCTCTGGTTTGGGTGTCCAAAGTTCATTTTTGCAGCACAAAACGTGCTAAGAAGTTTTATCTGGAGAATCTGAGGGGGGTTCAGGGGGGTGGGATCTAGCTACCGATGATTGTCCGAACGAACAGAGGACATGAATGATGATCGTCAACTTGCCAAGGAGGAGAATACGAAGTAAGCATGTGGCTACTAGCCATGACATGGAGAGTTTTTTCACGTCCATTTTTTTCCCCGTTCACCAGGAATGACGCTTGCACGAAGAGGCTCTACAGTCCACTGCTTGGCTCGAGAGCAAGAACACCGAATCTTAGGTGCTGCAGCCGAGTCCGAGATTTGCGAGATCTTCACTGACAACATCGGAGTACACCTTTGGCTGAACTTTAGCACCTTGACCCAGAACATTTGGCCCACCTGAGACATATTTTCTCCCCCAAACAAGCCTTTTTGGCAGTAGAGCCCCAAACAACCCGTCACCGTTAGTAAGATTAGTAAGTCACTCGATGACAGTTGATCTCCAACCCGCGGAAGGAAGAGCGATTGATGTCAAAAAAGAATCAAGATCAGAAGATATTCATGAGCTTTGCTGATTGATATACTGATTCATAATATTGATGTGGTGTTTGCACATGTTTGCGTGTTGTTTTCCTCCCTTTTTGTTTTAGCAATTGAGGTCAAACTCTTTGTGCTATTATTGTTCTGTTGAACGTCAGCCAGCTGGTGCTGGTGTTTGTGATGTTCCACTTTGGCTGGCATCACTCTGGAGAGCTATGGACAACCCTTGCAACCTTGATTTTCAGCACGGTAGCTGCCTCTTGTCACAGTAGATGGCCAAACGAAAGCACAGCACGGAAAGCTGCGAACCAGCATGGCCACCTGAAACAGTTGGCTTCGACCAACGAATGCACATCATGCACAGCCTGAAACATTTGCTTCGATGTTTCGTGCGAAACTCCCGGGACATGCTCTCACCATCTCTCACCCCGACCACCCGAGGTTTTCCTGCTGAAGCTCGTCAAGAAGCTGCTGCATTCTCGGGACTTGAACATGGCCATGCAGAACCTGGACACCTTCGTTCAAGACTGTGGTCACGGCTTGGACTGGGGAACTGAGGCCCGAAGACAACACTGCAGGTTTGTGGCCCTTTGGACCGTTGCTTGGGCCAGATCTGAGTCACCCGGGCCACCCCGGGTGGGTAGGTGTCTACGGTGTCTACCTCCCCAGTAGTCTGTTCGGTTCATGTGTTCGGTGGGACAAACCCGGGGGGCTGAGTGTGAAGAGATGTCCTCTCAGCTTGTTCTCAGTGTAGCGGAGGATGAGGGGATGAGGTCAAAACCTGGAGCCTGGTCCACCATGCAGCGAACGACCTTCCAGGTAGGTCAACCGGTCGGTATATATCCTGGTGCCACATGTGGGGAGCATCAGGGTGTGACGATCGTCATCGTACCGGTCACTTGCTACACACCATTCATATCTCAAACACCCAATGGGACTGGTATCAACTTGGATGTTCGCAAGCCCACGAAGTCTCGGCCAAGTTCTGTCGTCAACGAATCACCTGTTTTCCATATGTCGTAGCACGGGGTGGCGTCAAGGGCCCTGTATTGATCCGAGATGTGTCGGTCGGACGAAAATCACTCAAACGTATGTATGCGTCATGCAGGAATTGACACAGGAGGAAAGCTCTTTCGTTCGAGCCCATCTCGACCATGTAAAATTCCTTTTGGAGAAAATACAAAATTTTGGCCTTGACGCCATTGCTCTTTTCACCTGTTGTAAAAATCGCTCTGAAACTCGTATGAGCCGTGAGCATGGTCAGGGAGAGCAACCAACCTATTGCGCGCCGAACTGAAAGTGAACGGTGTCTGGCACACCTTGTCTTTGACTTCCCAATCACTCACTCTTTGTCGAAAGCGCTCCATGCCTTCCAACTGCTCAAGCCTTTCTTTCCTGGCCAGGGTGCGTTCCAACAACTCAATCTGTTCTTTTTGTTTCTTTACCTTTGCACTCACCTCAATCATGAAGAGCATCCTTTCATTGCAATGACGATTCCAGAGGCGAATCTGGTCCGAAGTGCAACCGGAGGTGTCCTCAATGTCCAACAATTTCTTGTAAGACTTGCAGCGGTTGTCTGTCCAATTCTCTTCAATCATTACTCCTCTCAACGCGCTGTCGATCATGGGGTGCTGGTAGTTGAGGACCACTTCATTCAGAATTTTCTTCCACTTCCTTTGTCCTCTTTCATTCTCAACACTTTCTTTGATTTGGTACCAGCGATCCCACTCTTCTGGTGACACTTCTGGATCATCGTTCACGGAAGAGCTTCCGGCATCATCATCATTCACCTGGTTGTTCTGTGCGGCTTCCATCTCTGCAATGGTGCCATGGCTAGGATCTGAGTCAATCTCAGGAACTTCATCGTCGTCATTCACCTCATTTTCTTCAATCGCGTTCTCATTCACCATCACTGGCTGGGGAAAAAGAACTTGCACAATGCTCAAAAACCACCTGTATGCTTTGTAAGCAACGTTCTGCATGCCAATGAATGAAAACAGGAAAATCACCAACAATGTCAACACAACTCGGAAGTCATCGGTTGCAGTGTTTCCCGATGCTGTCTGATTTGTATCAGCTGCTTCAACACCTGCTTCCTCTGCACCTTGTGTTGCCAATGTAAGGATTGCCATCTGTGCTGCTTTCTTCCACATGTCTTCACCAAGTTTGCGCTGGTTGAAGTGCTTGTAAAAAATGCCTTCGACTGCAATACCGGTGGTGCTGCTGTGAAGCATCAAGCGACTTCCCACAACCAGGCTTCTGGCATACTCCAGCTGCAATCTCCTCGGTCATCAACAGTTCACCGTGGAAAAGCATCTTGGCGGCTTCATCGTGTTCTTTCTCTTCACCTTCTTTCTCTTCTCTGGTGACCTTCTTGGCCGCCGTGAAGTTTGGATCAAATCTCAATGAGTGAACTCCTCGCCTGAGAACATGCGAGAAACTATCTTTGGCTCCTGGTTTCGTGAGCCCATCTGCAACTTGCTGTGCCGAGTTCACCCACTTCATTTCTCCAAGCATCGCAGCTAACCTTTCCTTCACAATTGCGACTTCTATTGCTGTTCTCTTCTCTGTAAGCCTCAGACCTGCAGACACTGACCTTGCAGAATCGAAAAGAGACTTTGCATCTGTCAAAGCAGGAGTCGGGCCGAACATCTGGAGCACGCCCTCATCGGCAATGGAGATGTAGGGACTGACCATCCCAGCAGCGAAAATCTTGGTCCATTCAACTTCATCAATTGCGCTCGCTGCTGACTGTGCTTCTGCCGACAATGAAGACCTGCACATGCGGTTCAACTTTCGAGAATGCCAGCTGATGATGGTCAAAGGAAAAGGCTTCCCTGCATTCATCTCATCCTCTGTGCCAATGAAGATCGTGTGCCCGCCTTGGGAAGAGCCGTCAGGCCTGATTCCCCATGATGCGTCCATGTACACACCAAAGCGCATCTCCGACAAGCTTTGTCCATGTCGCCTCAAGGTCATGTTGTAGCCTTGAACAACGTCTTTTGCAAATCTCAACAACTTGTTTGCTTGCACAATGTCACCAACTGTTGGATTGCTCGACGATGCTTGCAACAATGAGATTGAAGCGGACAACTGAGGTAGGCATTGTCCTGCCGGCCAAGCCAACGCGCCAATGAGTGCTCTCAGCATCTTCGTTTCTTTGGGCTCCAATGGCGCGTCGCTCATGGTCTTCCTCTGCTTGTCCAAGGTAATCGGCTTGATCTTTTGCACATATTCTTTCAGGCTCAATGTCAAGCTGTCATACCCAATGCTTTGCTCCAATGATGTTCCACAAAATAGGATCTTGGAATTGCGACCAAAGTCCCAACTGCCGAACCTGAACTTTTGTGCCAAACTCTGCAACCTGCTCTTGAAACAATGTGTTGTCCTCTGCGCTTCTGTCTCCTCACGGATTCCGGTTACATCCTCCACTGCATGCACTCCTTCGCCACAACCAAGGAAATCATCAACATGCAAACCAAGAATCCCATCAACAATGTATTGCTTGCCTTGGTGTTCAAACACTTGGAAATCATGATCTCCTCTGCATGCAAGCCTCACGCTCAGGAAAACACAATTGTCCAAAGGATGCTGAAGGAACTGGGCCTCATTGATCAGGAAATCTTTTGCTGACTCATACCACTGCCTTGGTGCTCTCACGTCACCAAAGGCCGGTTTGGTGGCTTTGAGAAGCTCCCATGGTTTGAGATCCATGAGTCTCTCCAATCGTCTTCTCATCTCAGCAGTGGGTCGGATATAGATGCGGGTCTCCTCATCGATGGACTTGGACTGCATGAAAGCACTTTTCACGTCGGCTGCAAAAACTTTCCATCCCAACTGACAAGCCCACTGCAGGATCAACATACGACCTTTTCTGCTCAAAGTCGGCGACTCACGATCCAGCTCTTCATTGAGAACATCTTTATGACGGAATCCTTGGATGATGACTCTGGCATTCGCCACTTTTCCTTCTTTCGTAGGTTTCCATCTCTGCAGAAATCTTGCTGGAATGACCTCGCCGTCCTTGGCCTCCGTCTCAGGAACAGCCTTCCAAGCCTTGTTCTCCAGCCAAACACGTAGTGCCTTGTCCTTCGCTTCGCTGAACTCTTGTCGCTCTTTGTCCGTGAGCTTGGATTCATGGAATGACTCAGCCATCAAATCTTCGTCCTCCTCCATGGGCTGAACCATCTGTTCCCAGTGTTTCTCAAAGGCTGCATCACCGGGTTCAACTCGAGGCATTCCATCCAACTGTCGGGACAAATTGTAGGACTGAAAGGCTTTGGCTTTCTCATCTCTGGCGGGTGGACTTCTTGATCTTTCTCTCTGTGGTCTGACATCTTCTTCTTTTGGAATCTCTGGCTCTTGCATCTCTGCATCAACTCCGGTTTCACCTGCACTCTTCTCAGCAACACTTGCCAATGTAGCTGGTGCATCTTGTCCGGCATCGGTTGCAGTGTTCTCCGATGCCGGGGCATCGGTTGCAGTGTTATCCGAGGCCGAAACGACGGATGCACCCTGACTCGCTGCATTCGCAAAAGAGGTACCCCCAAGGGAAGGAGATTGCTGAGAAGACAAATCCAAGAACCGAACGGGACCGCGAACAGGACGTAAGGTGTCAAGGATTTGGGTTTGAACCGGTGTGGATTGAGCTGTATCTGGCATGTTCTCTAACCGTGCCAACCGTTCTCGTGGTAACTCTGGACGAATATGTTCAGGAGCGACACGAACGAGAGAGGCACCATGAGCTAACCAGTAAACATGAGGTCGAAACTTCTCGGAATCGCTCATGGGTTTTGGCTCAACCATGCAAACCAAAGAAGGTCCTCGCCATCGAGAGCTTTCGAGCTTGGAATCTCCCTGCCGCCAGTAGTATGCCCAAGAACCAAGTGGCAAAGGTTCATGGTCGGACCTTGGTCTTGCCAAAAGAGAACGTCTCAGAAGGGCATCATTGTTGGCTTCATGAAATGTCTTGGCTGCAAGAGTCCGGAGAACTACTAAATCTTGAGCTGCTGCCGGCAAATCGGGTCGTAGATCTTGAGGTTCATCAATGAGACCTGCCAATGCATTGGGAGCTCTGCCAAAGACCAAGTCAGCTGGTGATGAGCCATGAATGTTGCGTAGCCGATTGCGCTGTGTGCATGCTGTTCGAATTGCTTGCTGCAGATCGACATTGGGCATCTCTTTCTTCATCTTCAGCAACTGTAGACGCCTCACTGCATGCAATCTTTCCACAGTACCCATTTTGAAATGAGCCTCCTTTGGAATCAACACCAGCTTGATCTTGTATTGGTCCATGACGTCCAGAAACTTCTGGCTCATGTGTGCTCCCGAAGCATCTGTCTTCAATCGACTTGGAAAGCCGAAAGGATGGAACCATAACTCCTCCAGCACTTGCAGTTCTGCTTCTTCTGTTTCTCTTGGCAACAATGCGTTCACCTCATACTTCGTGAACAAATCAATGACTGCCAGGATGCGAACTTTTTCATCATTCCACTTCATATGGAAAGTGTCCATCTCGATGATCTCATTGAAGTAGGTGGCTTCTGTCAAAGTACCGGGATTTGCGCTTTTCTTCAATGCTTCTCCTTGACAGATGTCACACTTGTACTTTCTAGCACATCCCACAACTTCTTCTGGGAATTTGGCATCCTGTAATGCTTTCACCAATTTGTCATTTCCGGGATGACCCAACTGCTTGTGCAATTTGTTCACGATCTGGAGTGCCTTTTTCCCATGCGTTTTCATCATCTCCTTGTCTTCTTCGTTGCCTTTCCTTTCTTTCTTCTGCTCTTCTTCAATCTCCATCTCATCGAGCTCGTCGGCCATGAAGATCTTCAAGGTCTCTTGAGCCTGCCATCTCTTCAACATGTCTTGATGTATGGCGTCTGCTGCCCTTTCTGTGAAGCCACTTTCGTAGTTTTGCATTCTCCTCAAAGCCGTGGATCGCCCCTCCATTCTCACATGCTCACCATTGCGACATTGGCATTGCAAATGAAGAGCTTCATACACGAAGGGACTGCTTGTTCTGATGCGTGTTGGCTTTTTCACTTTTCCCAACACATTTCCTCCACTGTCTCGGCAGACTAGACCTGTTCGACATCGATCACACTCGGCATCCATCACCGATCTTTCCTTCAGCTTCTGCATGGTCTCTGTCTCCCAAGACTTGGCTCCACGAGGATGTTCACAGCTGACTCCAGCATCAATTTCTTCTCCGACCTCAAAGACCTGAGTCACGAAGACGAGATGAGACTCTTCCTCCTCACTTCTGTCTTTCATCAGCTTCTCTTTTCCTTCTTCCGTCAGTGCATTCAGGTTCTGCATGACGGACCACTTGGTGCAAGGTGGAGCTAACCACACATGCAAAGGCCGTTCTTTTCTCATCAACTTCAAAAACTCCTTTCTCACATGACTCTTCTTGAAGTCCCATTCTGGCAAAGAAAAATTGGCCACACTCACATCTGCATACTTGTTCAGAAGCTTCTGCGACAACTGGCCTTCATCCACGTAGACTTCAAAGAAAGTCATGCACCTGTCGGTCTCCACTGCTTTCATGGCTTCTTCGATCATGGTGTCATCCTCAATCTCGAACTCCACGAGAGGCAGCTCTCCGGTTGCCTCCGCTTCTGTGGAAGGTTCAATGTACCATGTATCATCTTGTACGGGCCACTGCACGACAACATCTTCTGGAATGGCCAGCACTTCTTCAACTCCCAATACTTCTGAGGAAAGCTGCAGGAGGTTCACGATGTAGTGTCCCTTTTGACCTCTTTCCGGTTGGAACCAATCTGAATCTTTGATTTTCAGACTGCCTTTTGCATAGTCCTGTTGCACCTTCCACTCTTCCAGCGTAGGTCTTGCCAGAAGGAAAGGAGTCTTTCCTGGAACCACCGATGCAGTCACGCTCAGGTCTTGCCCACGAACCTGTACCGGGAAGGTGATGTCGTAGCTTGAACGAAGCGTTTCACCTCCTCCGAACTTGAAGTCTCTTGAAACCTGCGTGACTTGTACTGGCAAATCTTGTGCATGTTCCAACCATCCTTGCCAAACCTTTTCTCCAACAATTGTCCTGGTTGCACCTGAATCAACGATCGCTCTACCAGGCAGCAAGGAGGAAAAGTAGCACTCATCAACGGTGGCTGTCTCCTCCACCATCGAAACTTGTTCTTCTGGAACCTCCTTCACACCACTGGACTGCACACGAAACCTTTTGAATCTGGGGCCATGACTGCTGGTTGAACCTGTCAGGGTTGACTTCACGTCACTGCTGTTTGCACTTGTGCTTGATGTAGGTCTCCTCAAACCTGACATGGGTCGTCTGTTGTCGAAGGTGCGTCGAAAACCACCTCCTTTACCTTTTCCTTTTCCCTTGGAGCTTTTTCCCTTTCCTTTTCCTTTTGAGCTTCCTTTTCCATTTCCTTTTCCTTTGCTCTGACTGCGACCATCTGCTTCAGGACCAATGGCCACAACTGGGTAAAATCCTCGGGAAAGAGCTAATTCTCTCATCCTTCGACGACTATCCAGGTAGGAAATGTAAGCTTCTTCTGTGGCATCCGCTGCTTCTTCGAGATCTTCTGTCCATTCTTCTTCGTCATGCCACTCTTCATAATTCACTTCTTCTTCCCACCAGTCGCCTGTGTCTTCTTCACCATAGTAACCTTCGTCATCGACAACTTCATAATCATCTTCAAAGTATACCTCTGTTGTCGTTGTTGTCCTCTGAAGGTCCTTTGGATTCGGCTTGTGGTCACCGCCAAACATCTTCATCAAAGCTTTGTGAACCTTCTCATAGTCCAAGTCTCCACCACACAATGCTTTGACTTGAACGTGTGTCCACTTTGGAACTCCAGCACGTGTCAACAAATGCCAGCCGCTGAGAAGGGCTGGTACTTCAACACCAACATCCCTCATGCGCTTCACCAATGTTCGATGCCTGACCAGGTATGAAGTCATGTCTTCATTCTTCATCCTTTGGAACTCTGCAAAGAACTCTTCACAACGGGATGGCACTTCAACTTGTTGTTCGTACTGATACAAATTGTCCAAAATCTCATACACAAATGTAAATGGCGTTGGACTGCGTTCCAATGCTTCGAAAGAAATCTGTTCTGTTGAATCCCAAGCCAAATCTTGCAATCTTGAAATGAGTAACAATGCACCCTCAACTGCCGTATCAACACTGCGACGATGGCACTGTCTTTCGAACAACTCAACACGTCGTCGAAAACTTCTGTAGTTCTTCTGGTTCAAACCATCTGTCGAAGGGCAAGCTTTAGACAGTCCTGAGTCCAGTCCTCTGAAGCCTCCACCAGTGTCGGGTCTTCCACCATTCGCTCGTTCTCGTGGTTCTTCTGGGAAATCTTGATCACGAGGTGTTCTGGCGCGTCTGGTCCCTGCGTATCTCCTAGGCGAACTGCGCTCGGCCCCTCCGAAAGCTTGAGACATAGTATTGCCTCGCCGAACACGAACAGTGAGATGAGCACCTCAAAACCCTTTCACAAGATCTTCAGGAACTCTTCAAACACAAAGATCACCGTCCGAATACTTTGGGAGGAGCGTCGCCAGCTCCGCTACCAATATCAACTTGGATGTTCGCAAGCCCACGAAGTCTCGGCCAAGTTCTGTCGTCAACGAATCACCTGTTTTCCATATGTCGTAGCACGGGGTGGCGTCAAGGGCCCTGTATTGATCCGAGATGTGTCGGTCGGACGAAAATCACTCAAACGTATGTATGCGTCATGCAGGAATTGACAACTGGAATATATGCCTTTGCGTTATTGTGGAACCACCCCCGCTCACGGCCTAGCCACAGGGGCTCGAGGGAAGAAAAGGTAGGGCGCTCCCACTTTTGAGTGGCAGCGGAGCATAGGTTTTCCTTGGCGACCTTTGGGGTGGCGGCGCTGGGGGCCGGCTACGTTTTTTGGTTTTGGGGTTCCTCGAGCTCCTGGGCTATGACCTCGTACTACGACGTGTTCGAGGTGGCGCCGGGAGATGAGCCCAGTGGTGTCTCGGAGGGCGACTCCGAGTGGAATCCATCGGAGATGGACGGATGGCAGGTGCCTGGTCACGAGCGAGATTGGTCTATGTCCTCGTGGGCCACCTGGCGAGGTTGGGACGGTGGCCGTGATGGCAACTGGTCATGGGATGACCGGTCTATGGGTGGCGAAAGCCAACAAGCATGGAGCGACTGGTCTGGTCGAGCTGGACGAGCACGAGTACCCGATGCGGAACAAGGACAAGGTTCAGAGCGGTCTATGGATGGGGAACGTCAGCACGGCGGAGGGCGAGTACATGAGAATTGGTCAAGGGGTGATCGAGCAGGGGCATCTGATCCAGGCCAAGAGCATGTACCAGGACGCCGTGAAGATGTGGGGGAGCGCCAGGAGAACTGGTCCTGGGAATCGGGAAGCGCCTGGGACTATGGAGATCGAGATCGACGAGCAGGCGGACACCGTCCAGCACCCGATCAGCGACAAGTTCATGAACCTGATCAGCGACAAGTTCATGAGCCCGATCAGGGACAAGGTCATGGGCATGGCGGCGGGGCTTCGGTTTACACTCCAGTAGCCGGCTTTGACCGGCAGGGCAATCCACCTTCGGGCGAGGTGTCATCGGCCGGGGATGTTCCTGACCCTCGAGGCCCTGGTGATGAGCCGAAGAGTCAAGGGAGTGGACGGGGTAAGATCAGCAGCTCATACCCCCCCCATCTTTCGAGCCAAACCAGGTGAGAGCTACAGAGATTGGCGTCGCAGTCTCGAGTTCTGGTTGGGGGGAGAGGGCCACCAGATCCCGGAGGAGTACATCGGGCCACGCATCATGGTCCAGTTGAGGGACAGAGCGGCCCAACTGGTGAAGCACCTTAACAACAGCGACGTCAATCGCCCTGGAGGTATGCAGAAGATCTTCGACATCTTGGAGCGAAGCCCCTTGGTGAAACAACTGGACAAGCATCGAGTTGACCAACAACGGAAGCGGCTTATGGCTCTCAGCCGCTATGCGGGAGAGTCATTGGAAAGCTACATCACGCGGGGCAGCATTTACCGCACCCAGTTGCTTGGCCTCGACTCGACGCTGGAGATGGGTGAGAGGTTTTACGTTGGTCACCTGATGGATCACGCTCGTCTCTCGAGACGTGACAAGGTGTTGATTCGCGCCAGGGCTGGCGATGAGACCGAAGAGAATGTGACCAACGCCATGGTCGAACTTGCGGCCGAGTTGGAAGGAGAACAGGGATATCCAATCGGGGCTTCCGAGCCCAACACCGCGGGAGCAAATGGAGAAGAGTGGCTGGTGCAACGGGCTCCTGGCGGTGGTCAACCCCTTCGACGAGGAGGAGGCCGGGCGGCCCTGGTGGCTGAGCTCACTAATGAGAACGACGATGAGGACCCGCCGGACACCGAAGACCTCGGGGAGGACAGCATCGAGGAGGACCCGGAGTTCAAGGAGGTTGAACGGGAAGCCTACGCCCTCCACTATAAAGCCAAACAACGAATGGCAGAAGTCAAGAAGCTCAGACAATACTACCGCAAAGGTGACCAAGTCGATGAGCGCAAGAGGGCCCTTGCAGAGAAGATCAAAAACACCGCCTGCCACAACTGCGGGGAGGTGGGGCACTGGAGTAGAGAGTGCCCGAACCCGAAAGCACAACCGGTGCTGATGGCAACTACATCCAGGACATCGGGGCGGAGATCCAAGGGACGAGCTTCGGGATCAACAGGGCGCCTGTCCTCCCTTCCAGAAGAAGCTGGTCAAGATCATGAGTGGGATTTGTTACTGTCCCTCTGCACTGACGGAGGAGAGGAGAAGAACACCCCTGCTGTGCGAGCATACATGACGCTGCCGTGTGGGGTGGGTCCACTCGGAGGGATGGCCGAGCATGAGGTGTTGTGGTGTGTGAAGGAATTGGCGACAGCAGTCATTCTCGACATCGGATGTCTCAAGTCGGTCGCGGGTACCACATGGATGAACCAACTCCTTCACACATGGCAGCGAAAGGGATGGTGGTTCAAGGTCTTCAAGGAGAAGGAGGTGTTCCGTTTTGGTAGCGGGGACACATTGACCAGTCAGTATGGAGTACAATTTCAAGCGACCTTTGCGGGTAAGGAGGTGATCTTGGGTTTCTCTGTGGTCAAAGGGGAATGTCCCCCGCTCCTCTCGAGACACGCTTGCACCCAGCTCGGAGTCCAATTTGACTGTGAACATCATGTTCTCAATTCTAGAAAACTGGGGGTGAAGAATTATGGCCTTCGACAAACCTCCAGTGGACACTACTTGATGGACATTGCAGAGTTTGGGGACACGAGTCAACTTGGGGACATTCCGGACGACTTTCGCCTGGTTGCGGGCCAAGAGGCCTGCCCGTGGGTGCCGGTGAACTGTGTGTTGATGGGCGAGATTTTTGGCTCCGAGCGGACGGCCGGAACCACCCCAGTCGGATCCTCCGTGGCACTTGATGGAGGCGGGCTTTTGTCGAGTATGCGGCGACGAGAGTCACCGGACCAGGGACTGCCCGACCCTATCCGACGGAGAACCCTTGGACCATGTGAGGGGGGCTTTGGATCTGGAGATGATGAGCCATCACAGCTGGGAGGCGCCTCGTGGTCGAGCGATGAGCACGGCTTCCGGGGCGAGCTTTCTGCCCGTGGAGCGGACCACACCCAAGAAGCAGCCCAAGACCAAGGCGAAGGCGGCGGCATCACCGGCGGTGGAGCACTACCAGCTGGACCTCGACGAGCAGATCACGGTGGAGCAGCTGACCCCGCAGGAGAAGGCCAAGATTGCCAAGGCTCGGGCACGGGCCGCCAAGTCGAAGGCCAAGAGGGAGGAGACCAAATCCCTCACCGGCCAGCTCGCCGACTATCCGACCCTTTCCCACAGCTACAGCGAGGAGGTCGCCATCAACATGGTGGGATGCTTCAGGAACTGGATGGTGATCTATCTGTGGAAGAAGCTTTTGTGGCAACTCCGGGTGAAGGATGCGGTGGAGAGGACCATGGCCGGAGCTCGTTGGAAGAGGAATCCTCGTTGGCTGGCCATGCTGCTGGGCAAGGAAGTGGCCTTTTGGTGGGGCCATTTCGGAGCTCTGAGGCAACGGCTGCATGCCCCGGTGGCGCTTCCTCTGATGTGAGCAGTGACGTCATTGTGGAGGAGATCCCGACAGCCGAGGACGAGGGCATCCACCAGAGGGCGACGACTACCAGGACTATGAGGGCGTCGGGCGGGACGTTCGGGAATCCATCTATGCCCTGGAGGAGCTCTATCAGGACCACGAGGAGCTCGGGAGCCTCTACGACGAGGATAAGGAGGTGTTCTACCAGAAGAGGCAGGAGCCAACACAATGGACCATGCGGAGGCCAGCGAGGGGCTTGACCCAACACATGAAGATGGGGGTGCAAAAGGGGCTGCGGATGCTGGACCGCCTCAAGCGAGGCTCCCAAGTCGCGGAGAAGTTCATGGTCCTGGAGATCTTCTCCGGTTCGTCGATGCTGACCCAGGTGGCCGCGGACTCCCCGGGTTGGGGAGCCTATCAACCTGTGGATGTCATCTTGAGCGAGGACGGTGACATGAAGGTCAAGGCCAACCGCGAGAAGGTGAAGGAGATGGTGCGGAACCTCAAGCCTGACCTCGTGGTGATCACCCCTCCCTGCGGACCTTGGTGCGCTTGGCAGAGGCTGAGACAGAATGAGCTGGATGACATCCGGAGGGAGCAGATGCCATTTTGGCGCATGACCAAGGAGGTGTGGGACATCCAGAATGAGGAGGGGCGGCTGTGCCTCACGGAGCAGCCGGAGGGTTCTGAGGCGCTGGAGACCCGACCTATGGTGGAGAGGGACCCGCTATACAGAGTGGTGGTGGATCAGTGTCAATTTGGCCTCAAGGACCCGGTCTCACATCGGCTGTACCGGAAGACCACTGCCCTGGATGTAAATGATCAAGCGTTTGCCATGGGATTGGCTACGGTCACCAGGTGCAGGCATCGCCCCGCAGAACATGAACAAGTTCGAGGTTCAGTGCGAGTGGATGGACGACTGGAGCGGAGATCAACTTTGGCAGGGCGCTGGACTAAGCAGTTTGCCAAGTACATCCTGGAGGCGGCGCAGGTGTGTCTGGCCGGCCGGCCGGGATACACCAGGAGAGACCCTGTTCCCGCCAGCTATGATGCTCTTCCAGTGGCACTGGAGGAAGGAGTTCTGACCCCGGAGGAGGTTCTACGACGCCAGATGAAGCAGATGGGCGCAGAAGGGGAGCGCTACGACTACATCCTCTTCGAGAGTGAGGCGCGGATGCTTCCACGGCGGACCAGGGCTACCTTGGCACATCTGCATGTGGCATTGGGCCACCTGTCAAATGAGCGCCTCCACCGGATGATCAGTCTGGCTGGAGGAAACTCTGATCTCCTGAACGGGGTGAAGAACATGCGCTGCCAGGTCTGCCAGATGGTCAAACCCCCGGGAAGCAAACCTCAGGCGTCCTATCTCAAGCCGACCAACTTCAATCAGCGGGTGAGCGGTGACGTGTTCTTCATCTGGGACATTAAGGAGGTGAAGTACGCGGTGATCCACTACATCGATGAGCTCACGGACTACCATGTGGGGGCACTGGACTTTGACCCGAGCTCTGATTGGGCGGCCGACGTGCTATGCAGACTCTGGTATGACGTCTTTGGCCCGCCCGATGTGCTCATCACGGATGGGGGAACGGAGTTCCAGGGGGCGCTGGCTCGCATGAACGAGCTCTTTGCGGTGCAGCATGAAGTGGTGCCCGATCAAGCCAAATGGCGGCTGGGACACGCCGAGAGGCACGGGTCGATCATGAAGATAATGTTGATGAAGGTGGTGACTGAGCTGCAGATCGACAACTTGAAGGACATGCAGTGTGCCTTGGCCTCGTGCTTTGCCTCTAAGAATCGGGTGGTGGGCAAACATGGAGTCGCTCCACTGCAAGCCGTGACCGGAAGGAACACCCCACTGCCAGGTTCGTTGATGGCCCAGCTGACCAGTGGGAAGGTGAAGTTTAAGCTCAATGAGGCCATCACTCAGGAGGAGGCCATTCGTCGAGCAGATCGGATCAGAGCCGCCTCCATTGAAGCTTGCCATTGGATCGATGCCCATGAAGGACTTCGCCGAGCCTTAGCAGCGCGGTCCAGACCACCTCACCTGGAGCTACTTCGAGAAGGGACTGCCGTGTATGTGTACGATCCTCCGGCAAATCGGCGAGGGCTTGCACGCCGTCTGCAGGACAACGTATCCTGGTCAGGACCAGCCATTGTGGTGTGCGTGGAGCGGGAAGGGACAACTCCCAAGAAGGTGTGGGTGAGGCTCCGGTCCCGGGTGAAGGCCTACCCGCTCGAGAAGATCCGGCTGGCCACGGCAGATGAGATGGTCAGTGCAGACTTCATCGTCGGCGCCTTGAAGGATTTGGAGGGCGAGTTGAACGATGGTAGACTCCAGGTGGAGGACCTGAAGAAGGACGACCCGAAGGAAGAGGAAGCCGCAGCAGAGCCCCCGGCGGTCTCCGTTGAGGCAGAGGTGGAGAAGAAGAGGGAGCTCCTGCATGATGTGCCACAGGCGCTCGGGAAGGATGAACGGGACGAACCACATCTCCTCCCGTTCAAGAAGAAGCAGAAGCTGTTTGAACAACTGGCCAAGGATCTGGGGGCCCCGTCAGCTATGCAGGAGGCAGCCGTGCGGGATCGCCTGGAGAATGCCTACGGCCAGTTGAAAAAGGTGCGGAAGGATTGGAAGAAGGAGCACAAGGAGAAGGAGCGGCAAGCAGCACGAGGTTCCACAGCGGCCAGCTCAGCGAGGGGCACCTCTGCCCCGCCCACACGAGGAGCCTTGGTGGTTGAGGTTGAAGCAGAGGAGCCGTGGAGCACCTTTTGGTCAGAAGTGGAGGCTCAGCAAAATTTGTGGGAGGCGGATGTCGAGGAGAACCACTACCTCAAGAATGTGATCGACCGCTCGGAGGAGTATGCCTCGGGGGACGTCAAGGCCGTGTTGGAGGCGCAGCTGGTGACTGGCAAGCTGAGGGTGGAGTACCAATGGAAGCAGCTGTCAGCTGCGTGGCAAGAGGCCTATGAGAAGCCCTTGGTCAAGGCAGTGCAGGTGTACTTTGACCACGACGCCATTGAGGGAGTTCCCAAGGATGCCATCGTAGATCCCCGGAAGGTGCTGAGCTCTCGCTTCGTGCTGACGAATAAGGGAGGCGAGACTCTGGAGAAGGCAGAGCTCAAGGCTCGATGGATCCTGGGGGGTCACAAGGACATGGAGGCCGGCAGGTATCCCACCTTGGCACCGACGGCCAGCCTGTTGGGGCACAACATCCTGAACATGGTGGCGGTTCAGATGGGCTGGGTGGTGCACTACGAGGATGTGAGCGCGGCCTTCCTTCAGGGCCAAAAGCTGCCGGCGGAGGTTGCTCAAGGGAGGCTTCGGGTTGGCAGAATCTCCAAGACTATGGTACCTGGAGTACAAGGCCACGTTGAAGCAGATCAAGCTGAACGAGCTGCAGCTGATCCCTGGGATGTTCGTTGCCTTCCACCCGGATGGTCGCTTGAGAGCAGTGGTCACCATCCATGTGGACGACACTCGCTATGCGGGGGATGAGACCGCCCAAGAAATTTGGGATGCCTTGCATGAGCGTCTGAAGTTTGGTCAGCATCGTTTGGCTACCGATGGCTGGCAAAAGTTCTGTGGGCGCTACGAGAAGCAGGACCCGAAGACCCTGGAGTTCCTCTACAGCATGGAGAATTACGTGGAGAAGATTCCGGACATTGAGAAGGGAGAGTGGGCTCCAGAACGGGGGCCGTTGAGTGAAAAGGAACGCACCAAGATCGGCTCGATCCTCGGGCAGATCAATTGGACCGCCCGGCAAGGAAGGTATGACCTTTCCTATGGGGTCTCCCACTGTCAACAGTTGGCCGGCGCCGGGAGAAGAGAAGCAATGGAGTGGACTGCAAAGCTGGTGGGGCGCGCCAAGAAGGAGGTCATCGTGAAGGTGCCACGTTCGGGCTGCGACCTGAGAGACATGATTGTGGTGTCGGCCAGTGATGCGGCCTTTGCAGCTCAGCCAAAAGGGCACTCGCAGGGGGGTCTGACATGCATGGTGGCCCACCCGGATGTCTTGGAGAAGAGCGCCCCCGTATGCCTACTGGAGGCGCAAAGCATGAAGATCCAGAGGGTCGTGAGGTGCAGCATGAGTGCCGAACTGTCCATGGCCGCTGAGAGCTTTGAGCATGGGGACTTCATCCGGGCGGCCTTGGCGGAGGTGATCTTCTCCGACTTCAAGCTGAAGTCATGGAAGTGGTATGCAAGCCACTGGAAGCACTACCTGGTGATCGATGCGAAAACCGGGTATGATGTGCTGGCCTCAGAGGCCCAAACCTCGGATCGAAAGATCCTCATCGACGCGGCGGTCCTACGCCAGGCCTTGGTGGAAGAGGGCTCGGGCAACTTCATCAGGTGGATGCCCGGAAAGGAGATGGTCAGTGATGGCCTCACCAAATGGAGCGACAACGGTGTCCTGCTACAAGTGATGCAGGAAGGGCGATGGTGCTTGGTGGACACTGAGGAGGCACAAGCCCTTCGGAAGGAGGCAGCTGACCGCAAAAGGCGGTGCGTAGCCAAGGCTCGTGAGCTCCAGAGGGGGTAAGTGTGGAACCACCCCCGCTCACGGCCTAGCCACAGGGGCTCGAGGGAAGAAAAGGTAGGGCGCTCCCACTTTTGAGTGTTATGTATTTAAATAAAGAAATAAGTAATATAATATATTATATAACCCCATATATTTGCCTACATTCATCCTGTGTCAAGCATCCCAATATATTACTATAAATGCATGTAAATATGCCATACATGGAGAGTTTGGGTATAGGAACTCCAAGAGTTTACGGAATCTTCCGGCCATTCCCAGACACTCCATGGGACTGCCATATATGCCGCCCCATTGGCTCCCAGTCAAACCACCCCTGGCCGTTTCGGACTGGCAGTCCGGACTGGCAGTCCCAGACAGGTCGTGTTTGGCCGTCTGGTCTCAGCCCTTGCGTGGCCCACCTGAGGTGATGATGTGTGCATTCATCGCTCAGCAGGTGCTCGAGACGTGGACTGCTCTTGGAAGCGACGTGAGAGCTGTGCCTCACTTGGGATGAGATGCCCTTTTCAACTGTTCCATCCACTCACCAGGACTCAGGATCTGGTGAGTGGATCAGCTAGAACCGAAACCACTTGAGTGGGGGGGTCCCACCAAAAGCCCTCTCCCAAACGAAGAGGTGCTGAGGTGGTAGCTTCGGTGAAGGACGGGAACCCGGCAGGGGAGTTGGAGCAGCATCCGGCGAGACCACACCCCGCGGAGTTTGGGATCCCAGACACGATCTGTTTGGGACTGCCATAGTTGGACGATCAGTTGGGGTGGTTTGGAGGGTGAATGGGGCGGCAGATGTTCCAGTCCCCTGGAGTGGTTTGGGCGATGGATCAGAAAGTTCCATCCAGCTGGGAGATCGAAGCATCTACGAAAGTAAGTGATTCACCCTGTGTATGCCCATGTGTGCCTATTTATGCTGAAAAAGGTGCGTTTTCAACCTTTTTCCGGTGCAGTCCGGGAAGTTGAGGTGTACATGCACGTGGCCCGTGAAGCTGTGACCATTGTACTCTTTGCGGTGTCCAGTTGGGTGGCCATGAATGGAGCTTATTTCCAATTCAATTTGCTGCTGGGGTTGGGAAAGACCTTGGATTGCTGGTGTGGCGACATGCTGGAAACGCAGAATTTCATTGGCGGCATTTCTAGCTGGAACTCCTTGCAAGCAATGCTCAAGTGTGTTGGCAGGGAAGTCACCTGGTGCTTCACAGTTTTGATTTCGCTGGGCTACATCGGCCTCTTCATCTCTTTGGCGGCATCTTTGAGCCTCTTCTTGGAGCCAGATTTGGACATAGGCTCGGTGAAAAGCAGAGTTAGCAAAATACAACAGATGCCTGCCCTGCCCGAAATGTTGCAACTCATTTGCAACAGATGGCGGCAAACAAACATATATACATCATGAACGGATATGAACGGTATAAACAGTAGTCTATAGTCTATACATGTCTATTGTCTATAACATTCTATAACCTATATACGTGCCACCAACTCCGGAACAGATCATGGCAGATGCCGCCGACTTGCTTTGTGTGTTTTGCCTGGCACGATTCGCCGACCCTGAAACCGGACAGAAGAACACCAATCGATCAGACCGTGCTGACAGGTTCAGTTCTTTTGTCCGAGTCAGCCTTGCTCCCCTTGATGTACCTCTTCTTTTTGTCCGCTCGTCTGGTTGCACAAGGCGCACTGCTCAGTGAAAAATGCCGACAGATTCCCGCTTTTGTGAACCAGCTGCTCGCAGATGAAAATACCTCGGAGGCTCTCCTCTCGATTATGGTAGAACGTATTCTTTTCCTTTGCTTGCCCTAGTACCTGCATGGTTTCTGTTTAGATATTTGCGCTGCATTTCACAGGGGTCGACAACCAATGTTTGCTTACATGTTCTTTTCATATATTTTCATTTGATATGTATAATATATGTATCTTTTCATGCTGCATACTATCCAAGGAGCAGTCTCCAAGCAGATGCACCAGTGTGTGTGTGCTTCAAAGGACTGTATTGACGGTCTTTGTTCTAAGTTTTAGGGCTTCTCACGTATCCATAGATTGTCATGATTGTCATTGACACAGTGAATTCCATGCACCTTACAACATATCACCAGATGTGTGATGTGTGTGTAAACCGTGGCATCGGAGAACCTTCGAGGTTGCTTGGAGACCGTGTCGATCTTCACCGCCAGTACTTAGTGCATTTCATCGCGGATAGTTCGGCTGGCTTCATCGTGCATGGTGTCACCCTGTCACAAGCCGTCACTTGGCTCAATACGCAAGCAAGTTTGTGGTGCAGTACTGTAGCTAGCCTTGAATCTCTCGGTTTGAATCCCAACTGTACTGTAGTTTCCATGGGGTGTTGCAAGGATTCACATTACACCCAGGTCGGTGAACAAAAAGACTGATGCAACACTTTAAGGTATTTTCATCCCTCCTTGTAGTGCAGATTCTTTATGTTGTTTTCACCGGCCGCATGGATTTTCTGGCGGGACAGCCGACAGACAGCCAAGAGACCCTATAGACAGTGTATCGTAGTGTATCTTGTCCTTAACTATTACCGTAAGAACCCCTAGTGTGGACACACCAAACAGTAGTGAGATATACTGCTGCGGCCGAGGTCTTCTTGAGGCAGATGCACTTCCTGACGGCCGTGTTCTCCGGATTTGGAGGATTGTTGGCTCGGCGCTATCTTTGAACCGCCGACGAGTCCAGTCAGCCGACGTGGCATCAACCCAAAGGAGGCCATGTTGAGTTGTCTATTACCATTTTTTTGAAGGAGCTGCTGCGCTGTCGTTGTTCTGGCACACACACACAGAGTTATGTTTCGAACATATTGTTCCAAATGTTTCCTGCAACCTTTGTATAGTGCTTTTTGGCCTTGCGTTTGGCATTTGCACCGCACTCAAAATCAAGTGAAGCTTAGTGGCAGCACGTTTCTTGGACGCAAGGGCATTTGCGGCGTGTGTTTTGGGATTTCGGCGGTCAGAAGGTCAAAAAGATGACAACATAAAACACACAACACCGGGAACGATGTCGGACGACCTGGTCGAGTGGATTCTGGTCGAGTGGTGGTTTTTCGTTTGATCGCACCTGGATGCGCACGGCCGCGACGCTCACGGCCGACACGTGGCAGCTTGTCGCGACGCAGGAGTAGAGATTGCCATTCTTCGCAAGCGTATCTTGCGAGCCGCTAAGTCGGCCTACTCCGCGTACACAGCTGGATATTTAAATCGATACCTGGGCTGTATGTATCAAGACTATCAAGTCTGCTCTTCAGCATTTTCGCTTTCAGAAGTTTCCGTGCACCATGCAAAGGGTTAAGCTTATAAAGAAAGACTGAACTATGAACCATTATGAACCCAAATTTACGAATCAGCCCAAACGAAAGCGTTCCTTCAAGCCATGCACGCGCGGGTTGTTCGGAACGTCGGATGTCTCATCGTTCTCGCCGAAGTGTGAGAACACCATCTCCGACTCGCCGGCGTGTTTGGTTCATTGTGTTTTTTTTTCTCAACATGTGGGTCACATGTAACCCAGATCATGTGATATTTTCGGCTCTTTTCATCATGGAAATGGGTCGCAAGGAATCCGGCCACAGAAAATATCTGGAACATATGCTAGTCAGACAGCGTGCGGAAATCGACTGAGTACTCTGTGACTGTGATTCGAAGATCCCATGACTATGACTCCGGCCTAGCGCGCAAAGCCTCAAAGCGTTGAAAACTTTGATTTGAGCGGTGCAGTACCAATTCCTACCCAGTCAGTTGATAACCTTTAACCTTTTTTGGGAATTTGCCCCACCCACAAATACAATAGGTGGACAAAGGTTATACAATTAGTAAATAGTAATTGTAATACATATATATATATAATAACACACACACACATATATATATATAATGTCTTTTCCAGAGAAACTGAGGGGAGTAAGGATTGGGAGTGACATGAACTCAACCTGCTTGTCATGGAGTGAGCGATGCTACTGCTACTCCTCACATGGAGTGATGGGACAAAATTGATGGTTTGCGTCTGCCTCCCCGGGCTGTGGATGGCTGTGGCAGTCCCAGCGCAAGCCTTGCCGGTCCCTCCCGGTGGCTTCAGAATGGAAAGAGCTTCGTCAGAGATCTGGTCCATCACTCACACATGGATCAATGGATTGTTTTTGGGGGACGATCTACAGGAAACTGTGGAATTGGAACCCCTAAGACGATGGATTTCCGTTACTTCCTTTAACTGTTTACCTTCCTTTTTCCATTTTTTCCCAACATGTGATGTGAAAACACCAGACCTTAATGTAGACTGTTGATGAATAGCACCCCCATTTTAGATTGTCAAATCATGTCAACCTATGTGCGGTTTGATTTTTGTTGATTCATCAGCAGCCGTATACATATTACAATACAGTATTACGCAAGCCATCCGATAGGCTAGGCTAGAGCTCTTAGACCGAACGAAGTGAGTAAACGGGGTGTGGGGGGGGGGTAGGCCGCGAAAAGGCACCATTTGAGAGGGTGAACCCGGAGCTTGCCTGGGGAGAGCGCTGAGGGTCAGAAAAGCAGTGAAAATGGGGTCTGGTGATGCGAGTGATGCAATTGACGCCGAGTAGTGCATCATTAGCATCACGAAGGGCTGTGGAGGCTATTTGGAGAATGGGCATTGAGCACTGGAGCGGAGACAGGCACCCATGTTTAGAGCAGCCATCCTAGTCTCTACTATACCTGTACCGTCGAGCGGATGCTTCTCGCGGCGTCCACGTGCTCCGAACGTTGTTCCGGCTTGGCCGCGCAGCTAGATAAATACAGAGTAGATAGATAGATCATAGATAGATAAATAGATAGATAGATAGATACTGGTTGTATGTATTGGCGCAAAGTATGGTTGTTGGTTGGCAGCGACAAGTCACTATCAGAACAGGGGCCCGTGTAGATAGCAACTTGGTGGCGTGAAGAACTTGCTGCTTAAGGATTGGTTATAGTCACGCATCTATGCCACATTTTTAGATCACGGTTGGTGACACCAATGCTGAGACACATAGTTCCTGCCATCAAGTATGGTAATTGGTTGGCAGCGACAAGTTGCTATCAGAAAAGGACCCCCTGTAGATAGCAACTTCTCTGTGTTTGATGTCTCTGTCTTTTATGACTCTGTGTCTCTATGTCTCTATGGTTCTGTGTCTCTATGTCTCTGGGAAGAGGGTGTAGCTGCGACGTGTGTTTTTTTGGGCGGATCAGTGGCATAAGCCCAAGGAAAGTCCCCAACAGCAAGAAGCGCCACTGAGACAGTCTCTTCGCTGTCCAAGCCCTCCTCTGGAGCCTTGTCTGCTTTGGAACCTACTCCGGAACCTTCTCCACAACCTCCTCATGGACCTGCCCCGCAACCTTCTCCCGAACCTTTTGCTATGTAGCAAATGACCCTCTCGTTTGGCGGCTGTTGGCTTTCGTTCCCCCCCCTTCTCAGGTATATATGCACATGTGTATATATATATTTGTCTAATTATGATATAATCATTTTTATATAGGTAGGTATATATAGGTATATACATATATATATATATATATGTATAAGAAGCTTTTGCTTCAGCTCTTTCTGAAATAAGACCCTTCCCAGCTCTGCCAGCATTGTGTTTGCAGCACCTGGTCGCTCCCACGTCCGCAGGTCGTGGCGAATCACCGTGCGGGGTCCAAACAGGGTCGAGAAAGAGTGCTGTGGGTGGAGAAAGAACATTATATATATATATATATACACTACATATATATACACTGCAAGACAAACATGCATCGCAGGTGGCGGCCTTCTCAGATATTTTTCAGCAAGGTATGAAGGAAGAGACATGACAAGACCATGTTCATCCATGTCCGATGCGTGGCCGCAATCGGTGGGGTGATTGTTGGGAGATCTACTCATGAGACTTAGTGCATCGTTGTGCGAACGTCCCCAACATATGGTAGCACCGTTCTGGGGGGGCACATCTTCAATGGTGCCAAAACAGATGCAACGGTGGCAAAGTAGACAGCAGAATACAACTTTGAAGTGCACTCCCTGAAATCATCATGGAAGTGGATGGCCTGGCCCTGAAAAGAGGACAATTGTCCGAATACCAAACAGGTGGTGAGCTCTACTTCCATGGAAAGTAACTCGGAGTGTAACTGCATTGAATTGAACCAAAAAGTGATTTTTTCCTTCTACAATCATCGAAGCAGAACATGCAGCAGAACCGGAGGATCTGGAACCTAGGCTCTAAGAGCCTAGAAGAAGGTAGCCCTTAAATAGGGCGCCACTGTCCCGGTCCTCCACTTGGTACATCGGGCCCCAAGAGTGTTTCGGGGCTTCACCTGTCGGCGTCACCTGTCGCGCTCCAGGTCACTGACCGCAGGGGTGGCCGTGGCACCGACTACCGTGTGGACGACTCGGACGTGGATGGTGGTGGAGGCGAGACGCAGACGGTGTGGCTGATACATGTGCTGGTGCGTAAACGGTGCCAATCAAACAGTACCCCTATGTGTTTGATAGTCGGAATCCAGGACCCCCCTAGGGAAGACCAGGCCTACAACCAAGAACCCCTAGTGTTTGATACATGTGCTGGATACTGCCAAACACTTTCTTGATCAAACAAGAATAGACACAAGATGGACATATTGACGGATCACTTGTGATGCTTTTGTTTGATACGTCAGTGTTTGATAGTTTGATGCCTTAGTCCTTGCTTTAAACTTTAAACAGAAGCCTAACCACAAGGAGTAACATTGTGGCGGACATGGTGCCATTCTGCAGCAAAGCTCCAGCTGGTTGTCTTTGGGCAAGTTCGTTATATCGTTGGCACGTCAGGCCTTTTGCTGATTCCTGCAGTCGCAGCTTACTCAGAGCATCGGGGGCGAGTTAGGCGGGCAGCACTCCCGGTCGCACCAATCATGGCAGGCGGCATTGGGCTGATACGTTTGGTCCAGATACCAGCCCAACTACCGCACACATGTTGATAGTTACATATGTGAGTTTAATTGAAATGGTGTGTGATGGTGTGTGCATGTACCTACTTAACGAGCAGTTCTTGCATGTTCGTGTCTTGAACTTTGGGATTCTCAACCAACGCGGCCCGCGTGCCAAAGATCAATGTTCTTCGCGTGACGTGCTTCACAGGCCTACAGCATGCTACGACTGCTAGGATTGCTTCGTACTCGTAGTTTATGCAAGTCTACGGACATTCCCTCTTTTGGTTCGAGTGTCTCTCGCTTGGCCATCACGAACATAGCCTCAGATTGGGCATAAACCAGATCTTTGCAGTGGTTTCAGAGGTTCGATAGCACCACCCCAAGATGTCTTAGACAAAGGAGGCTGACTTGGAATCACTGAACTTGGGGGCCCTTGTGACGTCTACTCTCAATCCATACAAAACCGTGCTGTGTAAGACTGAGGTTCCAACATCACAGCGCGAGTGGACGCAATTCCTGGGCCGAACCGTGCGCCAACCAGCGGGCCGATGCAATGGGAGCTGCACGTTGATTCTTCATTTCCACGGTGGGCGTGCATCAGGGGTTTCCTCATCAAGTAACCTTCCTTGATTTTGCTCAGGGCCTCGGACTAGGGCCCAGGGTGATTCTTCTTGTCGCTACAGGTGAATGCCCTTCTAGAAGGGGAGTATATTGGTTGTTCTTCCCGGTGCCTGGACAGCAAATGCAATCTTCAGATGCTGTCCAAACA